TGGGCGCGTCAGTATTGCGACTGGCGCCCGCGACAGCACAACAAATAAGAACAAAAGGTTCAAAGGGGTTAGGCCACAGCTCATATGCGCAGCAACAGATCTGGCATCAAAGCCCCTTGCCGACTTCGTGCCGGGAGCTCAGGCCGAACCTTCAGGTGGGGATAATGGAAAAAATGGAAACTACTATTTAGGGTTTAGGTCTTTTTTTAAGGTTTAGGGTGGATAGGGAGAATGGAAAAGAACATGGAAACTGCAATAATAGGTTTTATCTAGGGGTACATAGGATTTTAGATGGGTTCAATAGGGATAATGGAAAAGAAAATGGAAACTACGATATTACAATAGGGTATTGGGGCCCCCTTAAGTAGCTAGAATATCTACCCACCGGGGCCTAGAATGACCGCGTTACAGGAGGTAAGGACAGGCATGAATCCTCAACTGTAAAGCCTTCCATCTTTGTGGTTTGTGTGTCTCTGTGCGCGTGGTGGCGTGCTTGTTTTGCTTATGACTAGGAAGTTGGAATCATGGGCTGTAAGCAGAGACAGGCTGAGGAGCTTGAGATTTTCTGGCACAGCGGAACAAATAATTACAAGTAGCAACGGTGCGACTTCGCAGGCTGCAAATTATCCGTGTGCACGGCATTCGATTCGTGAGCTTAAGCTCTCGGGGCTGAGTCTTTGCAGTTGAGGATTCGTGGGCTTTATGTTGTGTATCATCACGTGCCGGCAGGAGGAACGCTGCACAGCAGAACCTTCCCCTCCGCATATTTTTGACGCTTGAATTTGGATGTACCTGCCCACGAGCAATTCTGCGACTCCGCTGCTAGATGCTCAAGCCATGATCCACATCTGACCGGCGCCTGGACAGCAATGTCCTCGGGCTCGGAGCAGACGAGCGGGAGCTACAATGGGGATTCCATGAATGAAGGCTCAGACAGGCTCGGCTCCACCGTAATAGATGATCCAGGCTGGTGCGGGACTCAATGCAAATCTCTTTCTCATGCTCCGAGGAAAAAACGAGCTACCAATGAGAGCTTTACATGCAAAGCCACAATTTGGGACACCTGCCAGGTGATCCGGCAGACGTGGAAACTGCTTCGAGGACATCTTTCGAAGAAAAGGAGTTGTCAGGCACTTCGGAGTTGAACAAGTACCTCTCTGTGTACGACCAGACTTTCGACAAAATCCAGATCCCACCTGATGTGGTGGAAGAGGTGCAGTCGGGACTGTGACTCAGCTGACATTTACCAAGCCCAAAAACATGGCAGTCCTCCTGAGAAGTTCCCAAGAGAAACCCCCACCCTTGGCTCAAGTCAGCCGAATCTAAGGGTCGCCTTCATCTCCACAGTTGGCAGCAAAGAGGCGGCCGGTGAGGCCATCTACTCGGCCGTTTTCGAGGCTGCACCGAGCCTTCAGGTGCTGTGCCTTGGCCAGGACTGGTTTCATGATGGTCCCCATCATCTCCCATCCAGCTCATCTAACGCAAGCCTGCGCACTACCACATTACAACCCGAGCTCAACATCACCAAAACACGCTAGATTGAAAGTTTCTTTTGGGCAAGATAAGGGTTGAGGGGGTGCTTGAAAGGCAGAGGCGGCATTGTGGCTATATATCCCACAGCCTTTTCCAGAATTGCAGCAAAGTCCAGCCCCGAAAAAAAGGCAGGCTTAGGTTTGAGTTATATAATATAGTTCGAACTCTGAAGAGTCTAAAGCCACCCAAACTCGTCTCCAAACCTCAAATCCAAAGCTGCTGACCACATCGGAACCTTGCATTGCTGTATTGGCCTGTAAGCATGAATGAGTGCGTATCCCGTGCCTCCTGAGTACCGACCTCGCACTTGGACACTAGCAGGCTGGGTGTCCGCCCCTGCAGCATTTACGGATGCTGCATAGCCTATAGAAGAAGAAGAGAGAGCAGCGACTCGGGAAAGATCGGGAAAATGGAGGGAAGGGAATAATTAAACCTTGCTTTGGAAGTTTCACAGCCGGCCTGAGAAGGGAGGAAGCTCATTCCAAGCAGAAGAAGAATGGGAGAGAATGGGAGAGCTGATTCTACGGCTTGATTTGCCCATTGAAATTCTTTGGGAATTCAAGGCTCGAACATGGTTTCCTGAGCTAGCCCTGAAGGACTTTGTGTACGAAGATCTCTCTTCAGATATATGGCACTATGCAGAAAAACCGAGCAAAACTGCAAGCACATCCGGGGTCATAAGTAGATTCTATGGTGTCTCTTATCCTTACTCCGTACTCCTGCTCCTCTTCTTCCTTTTGGCAGGCTTTATGCCTATTCTTACTTCTCTGACATTTCCTTTTCATATTCTTTCTTCTTCTTTCACAGCCTAGCCCTACTCTACTCTCTACACCTTCTTCTTCCTCCTGCTTAAAAGTACAACACGTACTTGACATCAAGTCTTGTTCATGTAGGATCATTATATCTTTTTGTCCGAATTTGGTGTGTTCTCATTGCTTAGCTTTTGTACTAGGAGGGGCGCCCTTACTATTGAAGAGAACGGATGAGTTGCAATTTTTATTGTGCTCATGTTCTGAAGCCTTCGCCGAGGTTCAAAACTCCAAGATCTGTGATGGCACTTCGCTTTGTCACAGCTCTTGGTGCCCTGGTAAACGCTGCTGGTAAGCCGGGGCAGCTTAAAACTCAAGTGGAAACCGTTGGTTTCCAGCACCTAGACATTGAAGCTCGGCTGGGGTAGGGCACAGTAGGGTCGCTCAATATGTCTTGTTCTTGTGGATGAGCAAGAGACCAAGCGAATGCTCCTGGGAATCCGGGGCAGATGATGACGAGCCGCCGCCGCCGCTGCTGCGTCGCCACAAGATGATGCCGTGCTAACTCACCGTCCCTATTTGGCGGGCGATCCCAGGGAGTATGTAGTTGTACACAGAAACCTTAATTTGGGCACATCACCAGATTGCAAGCCAAGGAAGTCACTGGTCCTCGAGTGGACATTTTCCGCGAAGCTATCCTGGAGCTGTTTGATCAGGTTACCCGACAAAATGCACGATTGATAGTTTCACTCTTGTTGAGAGGTTTTAGTGCATTTCTTGGGGAGGTGTCATGCAGCAACACCCCTAGGAAATCTGGTATGGACACCTTGCAAGTCCGGTGGGGTCAACCTCGTTGCCCCCACAACACCCCCAGAACTGGGCCTGCCTAAACGCAGATGGAAACCTGAGTTCTCCCAAACCTTAGGACTACAACAGGAAGTGGCCCTCAGATCTGCAGGGTTGGAGGGATGAGCCCCCAGATCCCCGTAGGTGATTTCTTGTGGGTGGCTCGGGTTTTCCTGTCAAACGGACCTGGAAAGACATTTCATTTCTGTGCCGTCACCCGGGTCTGAATCCTAGGTTGCCATTTGCGGGTCGAGTAACTTACAGATCCCACTATTACTATTAGTATTACTATTAGTATTGCTATTACTATTACTGGTACTAGTTCTATTTACTATTACTATTCCCAGAAGCTGTGCAGTGATCAAGTCTGGGAAGATGTCCTGCTTGATTGAACTGCACAGGAGCTTGGCGCCAAGTTGAGCGAAAAAGCCAGATTCGGTTTTCAGCTTTTGCTGAATTACACCGGCGGAGCTCTAATCTATATCCGACGAGAGTAGCTAGCTTGTGCATGCGAGAAACACTTTTCTCTTTTCTCTTCGAGTTGTCGAGAGGGTCAGATGCAGGATCATGTAGGTCTAAAAGCCTCCGGCGACAAAGCCAAGGTATGCCGTGAGAATTCGAATTATCCAGACTAGCTGGAGGTCTGCCAACAAGAAGGCGGCCGGAATTACCGACGTCGCAGATGTTGGCGACGGCAAAACGCCCTCAGGCAGGCTGAAAGGCAAATCCGTCGAAATTGGCGACGATAATGATTCAATTGTGGCAGAGGCGGATGGAGAGGGCGTGGCTATTACAAAGCAGACTGACGGAATGATGGTCCCCAGTTCGTTCAACGACATGTTTCTGTTCAATGCGGCAGTTATGGGCCTGACAAATCATGACTGGATGACTTTGATCCTGGACCAGCTTGATGCCATCGCGAACAACGTCGCAAATCCATACCGCTTGCAGGAAGAATGCGATGTTCTCGCACTGGTTCTTTCTAAGTACCAGGGTCGAAACCTCAGGCTTTTGGCCCTGCTTGAAAGTCTGTGCCCCAAAGTGCTCCCAGGCACCTTTGTGCTATCCGAATTCAAAGCGGTTGTTCTGGCATCGCTGCGCTCCCTGGTCTCCACTGAGTGGGACTCCGAACATGAGGTGGCCCAGCTGTCATGCTGTTGCTAGACCTTTTCTTTCGAGCAACTCTGCAGACTTAGATCTCATGGATGTTGATAAGAGCATGAGCCTGAATGATCCTGAACGTTCAGCTGCGTTTTTCGTGGTAGGTGGCGTGGAACTGGCTGTGGCAGACACGTGGACTCAAGAATAGAGGTTCACTGTGCGATGCCAACGTGATCAAAGTGCTTACTATCCGGTCCCCGTCCTAGATGTCCATGGGGAATGCTTTCTGACCAAGGAATGTGGAGCGACTGCTAAAAGCGGTTCTTGGAAAGCCACCCGTTGCTTGTCTTGCAAACATGTAGGCAAAGCAAGTTGCAAAGTTCGGATGCACAAGTGTCAGCATTCATTGCCGCTGATACTGCGTGAAGTTTCAGCCCCAAGCTTTGGCTAGCTCCGCTGCTCAGGTGCATGAAAAAGCATTGTCAGATTTGTTTATGAGCCTCCCCGAAGCCTCGATGGCATCCATTCGGCAAGAGTTTTTCTTGCATTTCTTCAAAGTCGCCCCGGCCGGCTCTGATTTCTTCAAGCAGTCGTCTACCAGACTATATTTCATCGCGGACAAGATCATAGAACTGACTCTGGAGATGTATCGCCAGCCTCGTGCGATGGTTGAGGACATTTCTGGTTTAGGCCTCCGACATGTTGGATATTCCATTCCTTCTGAGCTATTCTCTCCCTTCGTGACCTCCGCTGTGGATGTGTTTCGGGAGATCACCACCAGCGAGACAGCCATTGCGGGGTTTCAGTGGTCGCTTACGCTTGTTTCCAAAATCCTGGTGAGGGCCATCTCAGAAGGATCCACAGTTGTTATGAAGGCTATCAGCACAAATGACGAGGTGAGCCTCAAGAAGGCAATGGCACTATCGCCCCGGGGCAAGCGGGCCCAGGAACTCCTCAACATCTCAGTGGGTGCGCAGTCAATCTCGCCCTTCTATTGGTCAATAAAGAGCGGTAATTTCAATAGCGCAAAGGCCATACTCGACGACTTGCTCACCATTCGAGCAGATCGGGATGTTTATTATTTTGCGTGTGATGACCTTTTCGCGCGGCATCCTGATGTTGTTCAGTATTTGATTACCGACGTTCCTGCGCTGCTGCATCCGCTTTTTAGTGGCCTCGTTTGGAGATCTCGCTGGATCAACAAAGGCAACTCGGCTTTGCCCAGAAGTAAAAGTTCAAGAGCTTCGCCTGCTTCTGCCAAGGCTTCAGACGAGTCAACTACTACGTCAAGCATCTCGTGCAGGACCTAGAAGGAGGTTCCAGCGAGACGCTGAGCTGGCTAGAGGAGCACGGCGACCCTGGCATCATCAGCCTCTAGCCTGTTGCCATTTCAGCTGTTTGATGCAATCGTTTCTGGCTATAGACTTCTTCGCTAAGTGACCGAGCCCAGATAACTTCTGCCCAACATGCCCGGTGCAAGCCTAAGCACCTAAAGCAAAAGAAGAACATGTGCAGAACATGTGCGGCTTGTGTAACATGACGCCGGAAATGGTCACAGCAGCCGCTTTCCACCATCATTAGTTTTGTCCATGCCAGCTGCACTGAGATGAACTTGCAAAAGCTTGCATCTGAGGTCATCCTGCAGTCGTGTTCTTTTCGGACATACTCTGGGATGGCATCATCAAGTATCACTTCCTGAGAGGGAGAATCCTTTTTCTCATCTCCTTCATGGTCTTCTTGGTGTCTTGGCTGATGCATGGCATGCATGGATCCGCGCCAGACCGCGTTCGGATAACGTCGGCGGTGATTCCTGTCCCAAATTTGGAACATAAATGTTAGAGCTTGTGCGCTAGACATGCTTGGAATGAGGTCAGCCAATCCGTTCTATCGGCTACGGACGACGCAGAGCGTCCAGAAGCACTTCGAATAGCACTGTTCTCCTGCAGGGTTTTCATCTACGCTTTTAGCATGCTGAAAATCCTGTACGACCAGATCAAGATGTTTTGGTCGGATTGTAGAGGAGGCTACGTCGAGCGGTACTGCTGCTGTCCAGTTCCTCAATATTTGCGGGAATGGCAAGGCTTTGGAAGCTTGATTCTGCTCTGGCTCCTGATCCTGATGGGAACTCAAGAGCCGGTGTTTTGGTGCCTTGGTGGGGACGAGCTGTTCACAACAGCTTGTGCTGAGGGCTTGGCCCGCAGGCGAATCTACTCTGTGTTCTCCAGCTACTTGTCCCAAACCAATAATGAGACATTGGCACTGGCGGATGGAACTGTTTGCAGCTGCTTTGCCTCAGGTTTGGCTATGATGCTGTTCTGGGCATTGCTTGTGAACATGTCCGTTTTCTCAATGTGCCCTGATTCAGACCAGAAACAGTTTGAGCTGACGTCAGCTTTCAGCTTGCAACAACGATGCTTGCGGCTTCATCTTGCAACTGGAGACAGGCGAATATCGGCGTTCATCCTGGTGTGTGGAAGAGTTCTGTCAGAGGTGGATTTGCGGTCGCGCGTTTTGAACGCGTTCCAACTTTCGGGGAGTCTTTGCTAGGTGGGCCTCTTCTTGTTGGCATTTGTCTTTATCATCTTGGCCTCGGCTTCCTCCATCAGTGCGCTGGAGCAGGGTGGCCAAAGCGATGAGGCCTGCAGGTGTTGTGGACACGTGCAGCAGGGGTTGCTTCCTTCTGCTTTGCCGGTGCCTGTCTCGAGGACTTCTCTGGAATTCCTTCTGGTTCTCTTACTCTGGCAGAGAACCTTGTTCCACATGTAGTTCTGTCGAGCTGGATTCGCATATGGATTGCTCTCCCTTATTTGTCTGCCCTGCGTTTCTGTTCTGCTGCGTCCGACGTAGATTCCAATGTGAGTCAGAGCGCTTTGTTGGAAATCACATGGTGCTTCTATGTCAAGAGCTTGCAAGGCAAATGGTTCCTCAGCAGCAGGGACTTGCAGGGGTGGCAGTGTCTGCCAAGGATTGCCCTCAACATCTACTCAGGGACGGCCTTGGCGCACTTGCGAAGTGACATGGTCCTGCTTGCAGCTTGGCAGAGGCAGACAGCCTGGACTGGCCATGCATTTCAATTCCCTGCAAATGGCGGCTTAAGGCAGCGGTCTACGCCTTTTGCATCCTTGTATCTATCTTCCTCATCAGCCTCCTGGTGGCGCAACTGAACCAAGCCTATCAGCATGGCTTCCAAGACATGCAGGGTTTTGCGCGCCTGAACAGGGCTGCGTGCTCAGTTTTTCATGCTGGCTGTCACGATGGCTTGGGGGCTTTGCCCGGTCATTGCAAGAGAGCTGGCCCAGGTGCACATAATCGTTTCGACCTTGGAAAACATGTCAAGCAAGAGCTGGATTCGCTTCTTGGACTCGCTGCACTTCGATGAGCGTCTTGCCCCTGGCCTGTCATCATGTATTGGGGGCTGGGGCTCAGGGCAAGAGAGAGCGGGCGGCTTTTTTTGAGTTATGTGCCTTGTCCTGAGGAGTTCAATGAGGGCGATGTGGGAGTGGCTGGGGGCATCCAGGTCCTAGAGCCGGCAAGCCAACACCCGACAAGTGTGGAGTCCATCCGCCGCTACGGAGGGTCCACGGCGCCTTCCATGCCTTGGCCGGAAGAGCCAGGCCCATTTCACACACAGTCTCACTAGATTCATGATGTGTTTGAATCCGCAATCTCGCATGCACGCGAGGCGATTACGGCCAAGAGGATAAATTTGAAAAGCTGGCATCTTGCAGGCAGTTTAGCTTCGCTACATGTAAAAACCCTGTGCATTTGTTGGCCCTTAGCCTCTTCTGCTCACACATCTCCTTATGCCAAGGAGAAGCTCATCATACGAACTACAAAGAATCTGAACAAGGGACGCCTCTCGGACAAGAGATGCTGTACGACCTGGAACATTCCCGAGTGGTGTGAAGGTTTTCCTAAGGTATTTTTCCGCCTAAGCATGCAACAGCATATTTCTTGCAAATTGATGCTGGCTGAGAGAGGTCGGCATGGAGTCTTTACCAACTTTACCTCAGGCGACAATCACCGACGAAATGCTGGTGGCATGAGCGGGGCTTCGTCCATGGCTATGTCAGATGGATCCAGCAAGTCCAGTGGCAGTGAGGGGGGGGATTCCTGAAGGTCCAAAGCCTGACCGGACGGACCGGATCAGTTTGAACAGCTGTTCCCAACGCTTCACTTCACATATTATTGGAAGTTCAAGCACAACGCTCCTTTCTAGGATGTGAACGTGTCTGGCTTGGAGCGTCGGCAGCCCTTGTCGCAACATGTCGTATTTCTCATCGGCAAACAAAAGGTAACTGGTTCATGTCTGACCAGCAGCGGAAATGTGCTGCCTTCGGTCAGTCAAGTAGTCCTTCTGCTTAGAAGTTATTCTGACCAATTGGCCAGTTGAATTCATTTTCAAGCCAGCAGACCGAATAAAAGCTCACACCAAAACGGTCGAGCTTGCTTCCGGAGAAATCCTGTTGTCGTTGTGGTCGTGAACTACAAGCCAGGATCAAATTATGTTGTTGCGATAGCCTGCACGTAGCCTTGCTGTGCCCTGAACATGTTGAATGGAGGCAGGTGAAGCTTCTGCCATTAAGCAGGACCTTCCAGATAATTTGCCAACCCAGGTTTCACCAGCTGAGCGAAGAAAGCAACCAGTGCATCCCAAACAATGAAGCGCCGTGCAGGATGTGTGATTTTTGGATTTTGCATTGTGCTGATGCATAAGCGGCGCCGCAAAACAGTCAACGTTTTCGCTGACACATCGGGCACTAAAGGTTGGGGCTCAAGGCCATAACCAAACGAGTCCGGCTTGCTCAGCCGTAGCCTTTTGCCATGTCGGACCTGTCGGATGACAACGGTGAGACAGACGAGGTTGAAGAGGAGGCAGGTGTAATCGGTTTGCTTGTTCCCAACAGTCTCTCTTGCTCTGTAGGTACTAGCAGCCTTATAGAGGGGAAGCAAGTACACTGGGCTAATTAGTCCTCCCGCCCGTGGCAAAAAAAACTGGGAGGAACTTCAGCCGTGCACAGAACCAGTTGTGCAAGACATGTCATGGCATTGCGCAAACATCCATTTCTGGCTGGGACATTTGCTCACCCTACGGCGGTGGGTACAAAGGGGATCTTTCTTTCTTTGGAGCTTCTCCAAATCTTGGCTTAATTTTGGGATTCCTCCTTGCCATAAAGATTCGCATAGCATGTTGACTTGAATTTGAGGACGTAGGAATTTCTTTCCAGGTGTTTTGCGCATTCGGACCGTCATGCATACAGTCACCATCCTTACAATTACACGTGCTCATCCACTCATCCAGGACTTGCCCAAAAGCGGCCTTAAATACTTCTGAAGAAGCACCCCCTAGAGTCCCTGGATCCGTTGTAAATTCCTCAGAAAGCAAGATCCCAAAGAGTACCCGAAGAAACTCCATTGTTATGAGACATGCTGGAGGAAGAGGCAACAGAAGATGCTGGAGCAGAGGAAGAGATCGGAGATGACACCATCCCGAATGAGCTCCCAGTATCCCGCTCGAGAAAATAGGAATTGGGGGTCCCGATGTGCATCCTCGATACAAATCCCGCAGATAGGGACCACACTTTGATGTTGCCCCTCATGTCGGATGCTTGCTGAGGGTGAAGAGGACACGGACCAGAACATCCAGAAGCATTTGGAAGTACATGATGCTACCTTCGAGGAGGTAAGCCGGATCAGAAAGCTTCAGATAAGGGAGTTCTGGTAAGCCCCTGTCTCCCAAGGCATATTTCCCGCCTGCGGTGATGCAGGAGGTGCTTCCCTTGGCCTAGCATGTGCTTGGACAGAGAGCAGTTCATGTGGGCCGCCCGCCGTCTGTTCAGGTTCAAGATGCATGGCACATCTTTATTACGCAGCTGAACGGTCGAGCTTTGACGCAAGTATGGTTAGTGCTGCATTCATGGTCCCTAGCAGGCTCATGAGTTCCGGCGCAGTTTTGCACAGGCGATGCTGCTGGAGAGGCCATTTATGCGGCGGTCTTCGACGCAGCCCCGAGCCTGCAGAGCCTCTTCAAAACAGCCAGGCAGAGGCCTCGGCTTGGAGCACTGGATCTGCTGGCCACTTTATCAGCCAGCTTAACATTCTTGCGCAAGCTATCTCCCTGCGTTAACGTGACATGGCTTGTGGCATGGAGATTTTCCGGATTCCTAAGGTCTGTCATGGCCATGCGCTTCATGAATGGGCTGACTTCGATTGTTTCAGCCGCACACAATCCACAACAACTCAAGACGCAGGTGGAGATTGGCTCTTAGCATTCCAGTATGCCAGCACTGCAAAGCTCACAATAGTTGGCTCTCATGTCCTTGATTGTTGCTGGCTTCCATCCATCCTCGGCCTGACTGGGAATTCTATCAGCATGACCGCTTTAATCGGAATGTCTCAGCTCATCCTCCTCACTGTGGTCACCTCCTCCTGCTCCCTCCCCCTTCTCTTCACCCTCCTCCTCTTCTGACTCCCCCTTTGCGTCCTCATCTTCGTTATCCTAACCGCCCCAATCCAGAATGCCATATGCAATCGGTTTGCCTATCCATCATCCAGGTCTTGCGTCTGTTTTTTCAGCCCGCTGTCATGGCTATGATAAAGGTCGTTTCTGTAGAGGTTGTGTACTCACTTCATTAGAATGTGTCCTCCCTCGGCACTTCTTTAACCTTGGGAACCACCAGCAATCCCCCAGCAGTCCCCCATTCCGTCTTAGCTGTCAGGGTATGGGGGTGTGAGCTGTGGTGCCGCGCTCTCCGCTAAGGAGCCTCGGATTTCAGCACTTGGACCTGGAGGTCACGGTCCCGAGAGTGGGCATCTTCCGCGAGGCCATCGTCGAGCTTTTCGAGATGGCATCCTGATGGATCTGGTAAGGACGCTAATGAAAGGTGCTGTTCAAGTATGTTCAAGTGTTATCCGTGCTCCTTGTAGCAGGTCGCGCTTTGCACCTGAAGCTGGCTAAGGAATTGGGTGTCCGCTTTTCCAGCAAAGCCAAGCTTGGCCTTCAGGCAGCGCAAAGATTTCCTAAATTCCTAGATTTTCCTAGCATTACAGCAATGGTGGCCATAGGTTTAGGGGGCATGCTAGCATTCTGGCAAGTTTTTAAGCAGAAGGGCCAAACCCGCAAGACTGTAACGATCAGGCTTCAAGCTGCTCCAAAAGGAACTTGTGCAGAGAAGGTTTCGATGGCTTTGCCGATGCCCCGAATTTTGATTTCGAGTTTTTGCAGGCTGTGCTGAATTATGCCGGCGGCGCTTTCATATACATTCGTCGTGAGTATGCATCTCGAATTCGGATCATTCAGCGGAGCTGGAAGACAGCAAACAAATCCTCTGGCGAAGAGGACTGCATGGACCATAGCCCAATCGTAGCATGTAGTGTCTTCCTGCATATGATTCTTATTTGCAACGAGGATGGCGATGAAGATGCCAAAAAGTCAGGGGAAGAGGAGACGAAAGAAGGAGAGGAGACGCAGCAGACGGCAGAGGTGGCTGCTGCACAAGCACAAGATGCCCAGACAGCGACAAAGGATATACAGGCCCAGCCAGACACAAGTGGAGACTGTATCAAGCAGGTGTAGGAGACGCTATGACTACATTGCCGTCCTGCCAGGGCCAGCCCTCCAGCAAGACTGTTGGAACGAGCAAAGACGGAAAGACTGCAGTCAAGGCGTCTTGGTAGCATGAGCTCTGAGCTGCCAGCAGAAGTGCCTGCATGCAGGTCCCGACTACCTTCAACGAAATGTTCCTGTTCAATGCTGCCGTGATGGGTTTTGCTGAGAGCGGCTGGATGAACTTGATCCTGGATCAGTTCCACAACATCGTGACCAATGTTGCCAACTCTTACCGCCTGCAAGAGGAGTGTGATGTGCTGACACTCGTCCTCGACAAGCACGAGGGTCAAGTTCACCTGTCTGAGTTCAAGGCAACTTGCTTTGAATTCACAGTGATGGACTAATGACTAGTGTGCTACTTCCAGCTGCCAACTGACGGTTTGATAGATCTCGAAATCATAGCCGATTGCTGACATTCAACGTAGAACTGGGGCACCTTCAGAGTCAGACCAGAACGAAGGCAGTGATGCTGTCATCATTGCGTTCCCTCGTTCCAAAAGAGTGGGACTCTGAGCATGAAGTGGCCTGGAACTGGCTGTGGGAGAACCTTGCCAGCACGTAGTCATGCGAATCATTTTGGAGCCATCATTTCCAGGGACATGCCCAGATTCTGTTGAAACAGTTGAAACCTCCACGTGCTGCGAGGAATGTGGAGCGCATGATCAAGTCCCACATGGGAAAGCCACACAGCCAGGAGAAGGCCTTGGAGCGTTTCATCTCGGGTCTCTCACCAGATGATGTCACACAGCTGCGGCGCCATATCTACCAAAAGCTGGGCACTCAGCTGGTCAAACCAAGCAGCAGGGTGAGGCCCTGCAACGCCCATTTTGTGTGGCGCTCAGGTTTTTTCAGGTCGCGCCAGCAGGGCAAGACCACTTCAAACAGTCCACCACCAGACTGTACTTCATCGCAGACAAGATCTTTGAGATGACTATGGAGATGTTTCATAGCCCTCGCATGATGGTGGAGGTCCAGCATTCATGTCATGTATGAGCTTGTACCTTACCGTCACAAAACACGGCGGGTGCAGGACATTTCTGCGTTGGGTCTTCGACATGTTGGGTACGCCATCCCAACAGAGCTCTTTGCTCCGTTCGTCTCCTGTGCTGTGGAAGCTGTGCGCATGATGACGACTGACGAGACTGCAGAAGCAGCCTTCCGCTGGTCACTGACGCTGATCTCAAAGATCTTGGTGCGAACCATTCTCGAGGGAAGCACAATTGTTCGGCACTTGGCATTCAGGACACTTTGGTCAATACGATGCTGCATGCACGCCTGCTGCAGCGCATGCTTCCCCAAGCAAAACGAGTGTGCAAAGGTCATGAAAGCCATCAACACGAACCAGGCAAAGGCTTTGAAGAAAGCTGTGGCTATTGCGCCGCGAAGCAAGCGAGCAATGGAGCTGTTGAAGCTTGGATTGGATGTCCTTGTCTGTCCAGTGCCTGGCCCTGCTTGGAGTTTGGCTTGTTTCATGCTTGCACCTCGTGATTCTCAGGAACATCACTGTCGGCACCCAGTCCATCTCTCCATTCTACTGGGCCATCGAAAGTGGCAGTTTGGAGTGCGCCAGGGCAATGATTCAGGACTTGTTGACGATTCGTGCCGACCGAGACTGGGCAGAACCTGAGTCTTACGACAGTATCTATGCTAGACGATTCTGTGTTTATGCTGCGGTCTTGGTACTTGCTCTTCTGAACTGAAATGTGCGGAGCCGGCACTGGTTCGGGCACGATGCGCCTGGCACAGTTCAGGAGATAGCTATTACTTCGGTGTTGATGCTTTGTTCACGCGCCACCCAGAAGTTGTTCAGCGACTTTGCACCTGAGCCGAAGATGTGCATGTTGTTGCGAAGCCGCTGAAGTTGGACACGCGCAAACAAGACTGCGCTTGGCTCAGGTGCCATAGCGCCACAGCTGCTGTGGCCGCTGCTTGACGGCCTTGTCTGGCGATCTCGGCAAGCGTTCGGAGGTAGGCGCCGGGTGAACTACTACGACGCTAGCCTTCACAAAAGACGATTCCCACCGACTGCCTGTCACAAGTTTACGGGCGCAAGCAAGAACGTGCAAGAATCGCCTCATCTCAGGTCAAGAACCTGGTTCAGGACCTACCTTCATCACAAATGCATGCAAGACATTTTGCCTGATCACAATGTCTGGAATTTGAGATGGCCATGTTTGCAGCGGAAGGGCTGCTTCATGTAGGAGAAAGCAACATGGAACGATGCTGGCTGAGCTTCCATTGCATATTGTGCAGGACCTGAACAGTAACTTCAACATGGCCTTGGAGTGGCTTGTAGAACGCCATGACCCAAAGATCATTTGCCATCCCGCTGTTGTCATTTTTGCCGACCTGCTTTGGACTCGGTTGGCACAGCTACTTGGCGTGCTGGTGCTAGGTGCCGCATTCTGCATTCGCAGCTGCTAGCGTATTTGGAACTAGCGCACTTGAGGTACAATTTCCTGCTCAGCCGATGCTACTTCCTGTTCTCCCTTTGTGTCGCGCGGCATGCAGCTGCAATTCGGAACAGTCTTGGCAGCCGATGAGCTGAGAGTGTTCATACAGACCTTGCCGTGTTCATGCAGTCCTACCCGCAAGGTTTTCATTGCCGGGCAAGCAATTCTGGGGAGAACTGATGGAACTTTCGAAGAGCGCGTTGCAACGTTCTGCTGCCGCATTTTCATCTACCTCGGGAGCATGTGCAGACTTCTTTACAGCCGCTCAGCTGGGTGAGGTCCATTGCTGAGTCGTGTTTGAACATCCAACATAGAAGCTTGAGGAGGAGGGAACTTTCTTCACATCTTACCCCATTTGAAAGAAGAAAAGAATATAAACCCTATAAAGCCTGGTTCCCCTTAGTTAAGGTTATTTTTGGGATAAGTAGGGCTCAGTACTTGGGCGCGTAGTAGGGGAACCGATCAAACATCTGGCAGGGTGGCGGGTCCGTCCAGCAACATTAGCTCACTCAGATAGTAAGGCCAGAAATGATCCATTTCTTTGATCAGGCTAGGCGAAACTGGATGTTTCTGGCCCAGAACTGGCAGTGTCCATCGAACATTCCCGAAAGGGCTCGAGGCATGAATGGATTGCAGAGTCGGAGGAAGAATAGCAAACGTAACTGTCAAGCTGCAATGCCACAGCCCCATGCATGCTGCGAGAGCTACAGCTTCAGCACTGATGCCAACAAGCTGAGGTCAAATCCGCCTTTTGTATGAAGACATCAAGACTGGTGCCATCGAACGCATATACAGGATTCCAATTCCGATGCATTTCGGCACAGCTTCAGACTGTACCAAAGTCCCGCGCAGGCCTGCAATGGATTCATCCTGTGGAAGTGAGGTCTCTTATGAATCCTCAAGACCTTGGAAATCTGATCCTGCTGATCGTCCTCATGCTCATGTGTGTGCAGGAGTCGGCTGTGAGATTGCGGACTGGTAATTTGTATGACTCTGACTTGAGTGTTTGCTGTTTGAGCTGTGAGAGTGTCGGTCTATATTGTTGGTGCCTCCTTGTCGGAAGCCTACGTGTTTGGGATCTCTTTTTATGGTTCAGAATGCTGGGAGCTTCATAAAAGTCTCAAAGACGAATACTTGTGATCGGCTTGCTGCTTAAGGCAAAGGACTCAGCTTGGGAGTTGGGCAGCCCAAAACCCGCTGGACCGCACAGCCCTAGCTTTGCTGAGTGGGCGCCCGATGTCCTAACAAAGTTTACGGAGGCGTTTTCTCATATATGAAGCTGATAACCCAGCTGTCCTTCTTGCTGGTCAATCAGTCTTTGCATGCAAACAGGTTGTGGCCAGATGGGTTGCTGACAGGAGCCGATTTTTCATTGCTTGTCTCATACTGAAGAGTTCGGCCTCTTCTCCGTGAAGTGTGCGGATAGGGAGCACAAGGCCTGCATGCTGTCATAACATGTGTTTGCGATTGAAGAAAGAGGCAGGGGCCATGAATCTTGTGAGGATATCTATGCCGTGTTTTCTGGTGTCGCCATGCTGCTTTACTGGCTCCTCCTGATCAACTTCAGCATCTTCTCCATGCAGATCTCGGCCTTTGTTCTAGTGTGTGGCCGCGTGCTGTCAGAGGTGTTCCTGTTCTTGTTGGCGGCGATCTTCTTGCTCACTTCCTTCGCCACGGCCATCGCAGCCATGAATCATAGCTTGAAGGACTTCAGCCGGATCGACAAAGGAATGGAGACACTGCTTGAAATGACGCTCAGCATGTATCCGAACGAATCTCTCAAGGCAGTTCTGGAGCAATCAGTGTGGGTTGAAATCTGCATCGTGATGTTTACGGTCCTCATCTCTGTCGTCTTCCTCAACTTGCTGGTGGCACAGCTGAACCAGGCATACAACCTGGTACACGAGGACATGCAAGGCTACGCGCGCCTAACACGCGGGAGCATCATCGTCTCCACCGTCGAGGCGGTGTCCCGCAAAAGGTGGACGGCCTTTTTGCAGCCACTTGGCTCATACGCGGTTAGTCTTGGCTTCGAGTGGTCGGAGTCGAAGGTACTGGTGAATCGAACTGGTTCCAACACCCAAGCAAGCAATTGTCAGTGCAGTGCTGGGTGACCAAGGAGTCTCAACTTCGACCAGAAGCTTGAGTTTAATGAGGGCGACATTGGCCTGGCAGGCTCGCAATTTTGTTGCAGATTCACCACTAGCGGGGTCGTCAACATGTTGGTCATTTGTTGTGGCCTGCCAACGTGAAAGGGCCAGCAAGTTTGCAGTGTTTCAGTTCCAATTGATTTAAATTAGTATTCGCTGCCTTGGCCTAAGTTCAGGTGACGTGACCATGCCCGCACCATTACGACGTCAATCCATGACCGGAGCAGCATCCATGTACTATCCTGCATGACGTCCATTCCCAAAAGCACACGATCTTCATAATATTCCAGCGTTGCAGCTTGCTCACCGCCAAACGCAGCATTATTTTTCAGGAAACACTTGCCATCATCAAGTTGAAACCATCCCACGCACACCATCCCGCTAACGTGGAATGGCCCATAAGCTTTCGACGCAGGTCACGTTTCTGAAGCATGCGAGTAGACTTTATCGGTTCCGACAGCACAGAGAGGTGATGCTAACGTTCGGTCGTTTGTCCTGGCTGCCTTCGTCACCACAAGTATCAAAAAGGGGGTTCAGAGCATCGGCGTTTAAGGAACTATTCAAGTGGCGCAAGATTGCCTCCATCAACAGTACTCTCAGCTGCATCGCGCATGTTAGCCAACCAGCCCTTGGCCAGAAATGAACCAACAAAAAGCTCACTAGACTGACATATGGCCAATAAATACCAATAATACAGAGATGGCCCGCAAACTGACTGCTGATATCTCGAAGTTTAAAGCATACAAGTCACGTGAAGCGCTAATTTCCCACTATTGGCGCTGGCTGTAGCGTTGACTTAGCCTTGACTATAGAAACCCACTTGATTGTGAAAACACACCGTTCTGAGGCGAGAAGCATAACATGCCACTCGCACGCTTCAAACTGTTTGCGTGCGGAGTTTTCAGCCAGCCTCTTCGCAAGAAAGGCTCCGTGGGAGGGGGCCTTTGGCCCAGTACTACATATGATTTCGCAGATTGCATCTTGACGCACCATCCCGATGCTAACAAGCAACATCAGCGACCACAAGAACCCCCTCTCCCTTATACTATTGTGATGCAGGCAGGTTGCGGATTGAGGTCATGCAAGAATGTTGGTCATTTGTGCCGGGTGCTGTCGTGCGACGTCACTACCAACATTAAAAAGGGTGTGCGGGCATTGAGTTTTAAGGCACCACTCAAGTGGTTGCAAGAGCGCTTCTATCAACAGTAGCTACAGATTACCTGACGTTGATTCTCCTGTGCATTCCTTCGTGTTGTTCACGCTGCGTTGTGGCACACCATACGAGTCCGTCATCGGCGACTACTAGGCGAAGTGCAATAGAAGAACACACAGCAAACATGAGCGCGTTTGGGCAAAAGCCCCAAAAAAGGCAAACAGAGCACGGCAAAAGTGATCGCCAGCGCAAAAAAGCCAGAAGTGACAGTCATGGTCAGTTCGCCTGCTCATGGTGAGACAGCCTGCAGGTGGAATCCAAGTCTTTGAGCCAGCAAACGCAAATCCAACAACAGCCGGCACCTTAATGGGAACTTTCACATTCCGCTTTCAGCAGAGGCAGAGGTGCTTGTTCTGCCTCTTGGGGGTGCGCAGGTGGAGACAGTCAGGCGATTTGGCGGCTCGACAGCGCCGGGTGTGCCCTGGCCAGAGGATCCGCTTGACATAGGTGATGAAGACCGCTTGGAGAAATTGGAGCCTCGGCCAGCAGTGCATTGGTTCCCGGGTTGGGGGGGCTACACTCAATGTCAAGTGAATCGAACAGCTAAAGGCTTCAAAAGCTGACCAGCCCGCAGTGTCTTGTGATGAAGCGAGGAGAAAATCGTGGTCAAAGCCATGAAGACGATTACAGACAAGAAAGGTGGTTCTTTGGGAACCGGATACTCGGGAGTCTCTGGATTTCCATCTTCGGCCAGCGGCTGGGTTGCTGATGGGGAATCTAGATGAAGTTACCATATTAAGGCTTTACACTTGATGAATTATAGGGTTTTATTCTTGTTATTATCATTATTGTAACTTGTAATCCCCTCCCCCGAATGTTAGCCCTCCCCACCCTCTAGTCCTAAATACCCCCGTTGTCGTGTACACCCTTTTAATGGCAACGTAATCTACTGAACCCTACACCAGAGGGGTAGCTTTTCCTTGCATGCTGAGCCCAATCAAAAACTGGTTGCATTACGGGTTGACACTGCTCGGGTTCGTATTGGGATCTGCGTGTGCGCATGAGGAACCTCAGACTCAGATCGTTCCGTGTGCTGCTTCGGCCCTGCAATTGGCAAAACCCCCCAAAAACCTAAACACTAAACGCTTAACCCTCATTGGTAGCTTCCATTTTCTTTTCCATTATCCCAATATACCCCTCGGATATCCCCTACATAGCCCCTATATAACCCAATATATCCCAATAGCAACCCAGGCGGAAGTGGCCTCAGCTCAGGAGGTGGGTCCTCCGCCTGGTGCTCAGCACAGTCATAGCAAGGAACATCAAGAAGACCTTACTGGTTCTTAGTAGGGAATAAGGGAATGCAGTTGATGGAGGAAATCTTGCAGCACCTAGGGGCTAAGGGAGGTGCAAGATTTCATCCATCATCAGTATAATCCTCATATTTATGTAGCTTTAGGGCTTAGGGCTTAGGGTAGGGAATAAAGGGATATCATCCCCCATGTTTGTTCCCTTGTTCCCTCCTGATGCCTAGTAAGCCATTGCCCCTGAGATGAACAACTTGCTTGCAGTAAGCGATGGACAGATTATATGCGATAATATAGGGATTATGTTCCCTTGTTCCCTCCTAACAACCAGTGAGACAAGTGCTACCACCGGCAACAGCAGCGGTAACAGCAGCAACAGCAACAGAAAAACTATGAAAAAGAGCTTGAAGAGCAACAGCTACCGCCACAGCATCTCACAGCACTATCCGCAGCAACAACAACAACTCCTGCTCCTGCTGCTATTACTGCTGCTGCGGCTACAAGATCACGATTGTACAGGTCGCCTGGGCGTTTTGTGGGCTTTGAAGCAAGTTATTGTAAGAAGAATGCTCACTTGCATTTCCATCGGCTGAACGACGAGCGGAGACTGCGAGCCAAGCTGTTCACTTAAAACGTGTTCTACATCGCTAAGGACGGTGTTGGGAGGAGCGGAATGAGTCGCTGAGAGGCCAAGATGTGTTCATGCTTCCAAAACTTCCGCAAAGCTAACTTGATGGAGTTCAGTTTCGTACCATGCCGTTGGCTGCTGGAAAAACAGCCAGCAGCTCTGTGGAACACAGCTGCTGAAATTTGCCATAAGCTGCTTTGCTGCCTTGTCCGCTTGAACCGAGCCCCCTCTATTGGGACAAGCTCATTCAACTTTCTGATTTCCAAGCACATATGTGCTCGTGCTGGCCAGATGCTGCAGGAAGTTGGCAAACCTCAGTAACACGCAGAATGTAGCATATCATGGCCTACAGAGATGCGCGCTGGCGCGATGCGATTGCTTTCCACACTTTTGCTTGCCGTGTCAAAGGCACCTGCGGTGATCTGGCAAGACTGTACCCCAAGAGCTTCCTAGAAGCACATTGTTTTTAGCTCGCACGCTCATTCCTGTGCAGAGGTTGTGCACTTGTCGGCCCTCGAACTTGTTCCTGAGTTTGCCAAAAAGGCAGCGCATTGTTCGCGAGATTCTGCCCGCTCATTGTGGATTTGCATGAGCGGGGAGAGTCAGGGAAAACTTAATCAAGAGCTGACCCCTGACATCTTGTGAAGTTGTGGTTCGCCAGGCAAGAAGAAATCACACGGTTCAGCAGGGCCTAACACAAAACTAAACAGCAAGCATTGACTGCGGACCCACACTGACGCTTTCCACGTCGGCATGTCTCTGCCAGTAGCTGCTTGCCATGCATGTAGGCAGGCAGACAGCATTTTCTTTGGAAAGGCAGCCTGCCTGAGCGCAAGCACCCCAACCTGTCCAACCAAGCCTTTGCTAAGCAAGCGTCTTTGCTTCACTTCACTGTTTATTTGTGATGCTTGGACAGACTACAAAATGTTGCAGGCTCCTGTTCTCGGAGCGTTTCATGTCACTGTGTCCATTACCTTTGCTTGCTTGGCGTCTTTGCGAGAAAAAATGAGTTTTTGCAACAATGTCAGTGGCAGCTTGCTGAGCTCTTGAGCTGTTGAGCTGTTGAGCTTAGAACGCTGTCATCTTTTCCTTCCAGAGCCATGTCCCAAGCGTGCATGCTTTCAAAAAGTCGTTTTGTGGGCGAAGCCCAGAGCGGTTGTCAATCTACCTCCTGCGCGGATGTCAACAGGCGGGGCAGTCGAAGACCTGGAACATAGCCAGGCTTGCGCGTTTGAGATGGCAGGACGTCGGGCCAAGCTTCAGGCGGACACCATCGTGCTGCCTGTGCTGAATCTGGATGCTGCCTCAACATCATCCCGGGTGCAGAAGGCCACTGTATTCCGCATGTGTCCACTTTGGAAAGCTTGCCTGTTCAGGCCGTGCAGAACTCCTTGAGCGCTTGGCGCCAGCCGCGGCTTGCCACCTGGGCGCTTGGCCAGCTAAAAGAGCGAAAGAAAGCAGCAATCGCCGTTCAGGACAGTGAAGAGACAGCAAATGTGGCTTTCTTGCTGCTTCATCTCCGCAGGTCCTGAACGCGATGCACCGTTTAGCCTGCGAGACTTCATCCTTCCACAGCAACACGGTCATCAGTGCCATCCCCACAGCAGCATTCGTGAAGCTTTCAATTCCGACAGTTGGAAGCTTGCCATTCTTCTGTACACGCTGCCCTGAAGGTGCCTGTGCGGACAGCAGTCTCTGGCAGCTGGCACTACATGTTCTGAGCCTGGAAGTCAGCTTTATGAAGCATTAAGCCGTTGCAGAAGCAAGAGGGCATGCGGCATGCAAATCGACGGACGCAGCCCAGCTAAGGACTTCCATGCCTGGGCTGACCGCAGAACAAAACATCATCAGCTACAGCAGCTGCATTGCCGCCTGCGACAGTTGCAGCCGATGGCAGCAGGCGTTGCATCTTTTCATGCGTTCGTCCAAAGCACGGCTCCAGCCTTCGATCATAACGTACAACAGTCTGGCAAATGCATGTGCTGCAGCTGGCGAGTGGCAATTGGCACTGCATTTCTTCTGGCAGTCCTCCGAAATGAAATTACTTCCAACCGTTGTGAGCTACGGCACTGCAATCAATGCCTGTGAGAAAGCCGGGTTGTGGTGGTTTGCCTGCTCGCTTCTTCATAATTCGCTTGCTTTTAGAATTAGCACCAACACCATCATGTATGACGCTTGCGTCAGTACTTGCGGAAAAGGTGGTCAGTGGCGGATGGCAAATCTGCACCTGAGCCGTATGGCTATGTTACAGCTGGAGAGAATTGACGTCAGCTTTAATTCTGCTATAAGTGCATGTGCGAAGAATAGCTATTGGAAGCCCGCCCTTGGACTTCTCAGTGTCTCAGCAACAAATGGGCAGAGCTTGTGGCTGAACTTACCAAAGCTTTTTTAGGGAGAGCCTTCAGGGCCAACTTCTCAACAGCGCAAAGCCCAGCTTGGTTTTGTAGCCATCTTGTCAAGATTTTGCTGGACGCTCTCTGCAACTGCTCCAACTGTTGATTCATTGTTCCAAGCCATCAGAATTTTGTGTTCCTAGGTTTGATGGCCGTTGCGAGCATGGCACAAGATGTGATCAGCTTTGACTCTGGCGTGAGCGCCTGCGAAAAAGCTGGCGAATGGAGTGAATCCTTGTATTTGCTACAATTGATGGAAAGACAGAAGGTGGAGCCGATAGCTGCTCAGCTGCAGATCCTTTGATTCTTGTTGTGCATCTCAACGTGCAAGCGGCGAGCTTTCTCCCTTTTCTTTGGTTGGCGCTGTGCGTGTTGTGATCGTCATAGGGGATTTATCCATGCTATGCTGGCTCCGCAAAGGGGGCATCAGGCAAAGGCGAAAGGTAGCTCAGACTTCCTCGTTCCTCTCTCCACATGCACTACGCAGAATCAGACGCTCTTGCGCGGGCTTGGAAGGTGATCACCTTCAACTCAGTCATTAGCTCTTGTGAGAAGGGCAAGCAGTGGAACTACGCTCTGGGTGTCCTTGGTCTCTTGCACTCCAAGCACGTCGAAAGCACCGAAGCTCGGCAGCGAAGGGTATGTAGGGAGCGCGATGCGGGAGCCTTCAGTACTTGCACCGGGCGTATTGCAGGCTATCAGCTTCAATTCGGCCGTCAGCGCATGCGAAGCCTGCGGCTGCTGGAAAACGGCTTTGTGGCTTCTGCATGACATGCCGGAAAAAACTCTGTGCCCGACTGGCGTCACTTACGGTGCAGCCATCGGAGCCTGCACAACTGGGGAAAAGTGGACGCTGAGCTTCAGTGATGGAGCAGTTTCCGGTAGCCCCTATGCTTACAGAGATGCAGCCTTAGCATGGCCTTAAGGAATTGGGTCTTGCGCTTCCTTGGGGATTGGTTGAAGAGCGGACCCGACGCCAGCGAAATGATATGCAGCGCTGCGCTATCAGCCTGTGTGAGGGGAGGCTGTTCGCGGCAGGCTGCAGTCATTCTGCAGAGCATGCGAACAGCCTGCATCACAAGATTGCTGAATTAACGGCCGAGTGGACCTGGGTACTCGACAAGTAGAATCCATAGTTCACGTCATGATGTTTGAGCCTGACCAGTGGTCACGCAAAATCTTGCAAAGCAAAACGTCTGGCTCACGTTGCGCTTGGTCGTATGTACGGCTTTGTTTCGAATAGGCGGGACTGTGATGGATAACATTCATGGCGATTGTGTGGTTGCTGGAAGCATAGGCATAGATCATGTGGTCGTGGTTTGACTCATTCACCATGTTGTTGCAAATTCAAGTCTGACACGGTGAAGTCAGAGGACCCTGGAGCCAGCAGCCGCGAGTAGTTGCCGAGTATGGGTTAACCACAGCGTTTGAAGCCCAAGCAAGTAGAAGCAGCGTCCGCACTTGGTCCAGCATGGCGCCTATCAATCCCGCTGAGATGCAGGCACTTCTACAAAAAACGTTGAAAAATCTTAGCCCAGGCAAAAAACTCCCATGTCCAGGTGCTGCAGCTGAACAGCCGAACCTTGGCTCGGACACAGCCACAATGGGGCCAACATAGGCCAAACTTGTTTCGTGAATTGTAAGCCGAAGGCTAGATGGCTGCTCCGGCAACGCCTTCTTGCGTGCAATCTTACAGCTCTTGTGACGATGTTGCTTGCGGCCCTGCTCAGGAGATTGGCCAATGCTCTGTGCCGAGCCTGAGTGGGAAATTATTGGCAGTTCTGCCAAGGACATTGCCTTTGACGAGTTTCCTGTAGATGATGTAGAGCCACCATCGTGGGCAGCTCGACTTTGCGCCCACAAAGGCAACATAGTCAAATCTGCCAGCAAGACTGTGGCGAAGCCATCTCACAAGAGTGACGGCAAAGTCGTCGCTTCCAGCCCAGAAACTCGCCTCGCTGTGGCAGTTCAGGTGCACCTTGAGGACGACGATGCTTGCGACTTTCTGGATGCCAAGCAGCTGGCTCGTGAATCTCACGGCCGCCAGACTGGCAAGGGTGGAAGTCACACAATGCGTTCCAGAGGACACTGTCCGGTTCAGAAAAATTCGAACGTGTCAGTGGTGACCGCTGGAGATGCTGATCCACAAGATGTCTTGCAACTGGCCAATGTCCTGCGGCAAGTGCCCGTGCGCGAGGTAGTGAAGCAGACTGGTGGGACTTGCCAGGAAGTCAAGACTCGGGAAGGCAGACAGGCAAACCTCACAGGTACCAAGATGTACGACGTCACAGTTCCAATGGAGGGTCCTGAAGATGATGTGGACGTCACCTACCGAGTGATAGAAGACGCCCGAGGGGGCACCATCAGAACAACTCGCACTCCGAAGTGCGCCAAAGATGGCATTGACCCAACCTCCCGGAGCAGAATGCCAGAGAGTCCGCAGACCAGAAAGCAGCAGACCTGCAAGAAGGACATCCAGGAAGGTATGAAGATCATGGGCTTCGCTTGAGTCCTTGACTTTTGCGATCATATATCATATGTTTTGGTGCTACTTGTAGCTTAGGCTAACTAAATTCGATTTGGCTTCTTTCGTGACCAGATGCTGGGCGTGTGAGACGATAGCAATGTTGCTATCTCACACTGTCTGCGTCATGTTGCGACGGCTGTACAAAATCCTTGTGCCTGCTAACCAGTATGGCAAGGCATGAGCGAGGGGTCAATTGGTACATGTTGGGAGTACCTGCGATGTCTAAGAACAGCCTTTTGAACAGCACCCAATTGCCCCCTCTCAGTACTGCACGACTTCTGCAAAGGAAAAGGTTCCCGCATCAATTCCGTTGGATGGAGTTTTCCCGAGCCTCGCAAACTCTTGTCTTCCTGGAAAAACAGCAGTTCGCAAAGCAGTTGTTGGCATATATCCTCATCTGTTATTTTTCCACGTGGCCAGGCTTGGCCCAGCGAGGAGGTTTAAACAGAATTCAGGGGCATGCATGTCGTAAATGCGGCATGCAACGGCAAGTCTTGCCAGCATGTACAGTCCTAGAAATATGTAATGATTCGTGGATGCTACACGAAACGCCTACCAGTCCTTTGCCACCGGTATCAAAGTCTTCGCGGTTGGTGGTTCTTTCAGTCCAATCATGTTTTGTTCTGTTTCAGAAAGCCGAAGACTTTGCGGCAGCAATTTTAACATGCGCCATACCTCTTCCTGGCAGACAAAGAGCTGGATGCGATTCCGAGAGTGAGAAAAACCTGAGCGCACCGCTGTGTGACAGCAATCTGTAAGGAAAGCATTCTGTTGTGCCTTCACCAGCACTGCTTCTTTGATTCCCAACCAAGTTTCTGTGCACCAAGCGCTTGGAAGCACTTACGCACCACACCAATGGCGCACGGGATGGCGAAAGATCGATCTCGATGGTGTGGCCGTTTGCCACAACCGGGTCGCCTGGTCGGAAGCAGCATCGAAAAAAGGCACCTGACGGAGGCTCTTCACAACGAAGGATTTACCCGAAAAATGCTACTGCAGGAGAGACTTGCCCCAGAAGTGGCGTTGCTCCTTTCCAGTGGCGGTGTCATTACAGAGAAGGCGGGCTTCTCCATGAGCACCCTAACGTATGGAAAAATGACGGTGCCGACACGCAGGTGCAGCGGGCGCTCTCGCCAGCATTGCTGCGATGGCGGCGATCCCCGCAAGAAGCGACCAGAGTCTTCTCGGACCTGGCCACTTTGAGGCCCTTGTTAGCTGGTTGGAGCGCGTGGGCAGGGATCAGAAAGAGGACACTCTTTTCATGCGAATGACGCTCAGAACCACAGACGTATAGATAGATCACGCAGCCCCGATCAAAAACCTGCACTCATCGTCTGCTCGTGATTGGTGCTGTGAAGCTGCAGGCAGGCCTCGATTGCACTTGACCTCTTGATGTTGATGAGGTACCTCCCTCAGTATATAAATGAGTTCGCTGAGAATGATTCGCCACGAGTCTTAGGCACCGTGCACAGGTCATCGAACGTAAAGACAGCTGTGCATCTGAAATGAAGCCAAGGAAGGGCCATGTAGAAATTAATGTGTTCCACTTCACAGCCGTGGTCGGCGCTTGCGAAAGGCCGCTTGCCCAGCAGAGCCCATCGTTCCTGCGCTGCGCGATTTATGTCAGAACCAGCCCCCTCGGGTTTTTAGGTCAGGGCGATGGACTTGGGCGACTTACCTGCTGCAGAAAATGCCAGCATTGCAAGTGGCACCCAACGTGCGAAGCTTTGAGGTCAAGAGCATGCCAGATGGCCAGAGCGGTAGCTATTCAACTGTAGTGAGCATGGCAAGTTGGCGCTATGGCTTGTTCCAGCGTAGTCGTAGCATTTGACATAGCGAACCTCTTCTCTTTGCTGCCTTGTCCTTGAGGGCTTTCAATTTCAGGTCTACACGTTCAGCTCTGCCATCAATGCCTGTGAGAGTGCCGCGCGCTGGATGCAGGGCTTTTTGCTCTTGCAGCAGATGCGTCATCAGATGGTGGAGCCTAACGCCGTTGCATGTTCGTGCGCATCTTCAGTAGCCTGCCAGAAGCGGAGGGTTCAGCTTGTCGTTCGGGACTCCTGTCATGTGTAATTATAGTGAGGCGCTTGCAGCTTCTCTGTGGGGTTCTACAGAGATTTGCTGAAGCCCGGGCGCATGAGCTACTTTTGCTTCCCTGCGCGGTAGCAGTGAGGCATGTGAAAAGGCCGCGGAGTGGCAGTCCGTGCTTTTGCTGTTCACGGCCATGCAGACGAATCAGGAGCTCTGCCGCACATGTTTGTGGTCCATGCTTGGAGCCATCCCTGAATCATGCAGTGCAAAGGTTCGGAAGGATGCTGTCTGCATAAACAGCGCAATCAGCGCCTGCGAGAGACCAGCCTGAAAACATTTGCACTGCTCAGGCGCATTTTGGCTTGTGGGCTTGATTTCCTGCTTGTGCTGCTGTGTAAGGAAGGCTGCCAAATGGCAAGCTGCCTTGTACCTGCTCAATGGCATGAAGGCGCCGAGCTCAGGCAATGTGCCACTGTACACCACTGCTCCCGAAGCTGGAGCAGCGAATCCTAGAAGAATCGCAACGAACAGCAGAGGATCGTGTTGCAGCAACCGTTGTGGGCTTCAACGCTGCGATCAGTGCTTGTGAAAAGGCCTGCGGGCTACCATGCGGGAATTGGTCTTGTTCCATTCTGCCTGCACCATGTGCGAGTCCTGTAATCAGATGCGACTCAGGAGCAGTAAGCACTCAAGAGCATATCTTGCTACGGCATGACTCCTGAGTTTGGCTCCCCCGCTGGACTGTAGAGCATTCTGCAAGTCATAAGGTTTGCTTGTACAAGGGGTCGCCGATCCTCATATGTTGTTCTGGCGTCCCACGACCTGGTCATGACGGTAGGACACTTCTCCTTCCTCTGCAGCTGCACTTTGTGTGTTGCAGCTTTAGAACATGCAGCGTCTGAAATATGAGCGATGTTGCGTACCATTTTAATGGGGCATGGAGTGCATGCATTGGCAGGCCGGGTGCTGGCAGGGAGCTCTGCAATTGCTAGAAGCAATGCCGGGAATGCGAGTACACCCAGATTCGATCAGCAACAAGGTTGCAAAAGCTTGCGGGACATCCGTCATGGGCATGGCATCAAGGTTAGCACATTGGGTCCCTTCCATAGTATGCTTCTGCAAGGCTACAATGCCGCCATCAGTGCTTGCGCGAGCAGCAGTGAATGGCAAAATGCTCTGGACCTGTTGCAGTCGTTGCAATCTTCCAGGAACCCTCTAGACGCCGCAGACCCAGATCTTGATGGCAGTGATGGAACTTTCTTTGATGCGTCCAGCATCATGTCCAAGGCGATTAGCTTCAGTAGCGTGATTTCGGCCTTTGACAGCAACTCCGCCTAGTTTGCCTTCTGAAGCCATAAACATAGCTACGACGTCGTTGCTTTGTGTTCTGTTTTCTGTTGAACTCTTTCGTTGCACCTAGGCACCAAATGGCAACTGGCATTGCAGCTTTTCCGCGCAACTGGGTTGCTGTTATCCATAATGGGTATAAATACATATAGCTTAAAATGGTCTCCCTAACATAGTAGCTTAGATTGAATTCCTTAAATCCCTATATGTTGCCCCCTATATACCCTCATCATAGTAGCTTAACTTAAGTTCCTTCAATCCCTATATGGTATGTACTTACCCCTTATATACCCTTATTCTAGTAGCTTAGCTGAAGTTCCTTAACAGCCACCCAGGCAATGGCGGAGCTGCGGATCTCCTCAGACCTCATCAGCTTTGGCTGCGCCATCAGCGCTTGCGAGCGAGGCTAGCCGCTCCATCCAAAAAAAACTTGGTTTAGAGTTGGGGATTTTGGGTTGAGAGTTTAGGGTTTGGGTTTAGAGTTTAGAGTTTAGGGAGTCTTGGCTCATAGTCTAAATTCCTTAAAGGGGGCTTATGTATTATAGTATGCAATAGTATGCCCTAGTCTAATACAATAGACTATAATTTATAGTCTATTGTATTGGACTAGGGCATACTATTGCATATTATAGTATGATAACTATAGTCCAAAAAACCCTTTGCTTGTCTTCGCATTATTCTTACTATGAAATTCTTACTATTGAAAATGCTATTACCATTGCTAATACTCTTATTCTTTATTTTCAGCAAGGGACGCTGTGGGACCCCAATTGTTCGCAGGCGTGATTTCTTTGGTTTTTATACATTGCAGTGCGTCCTGTTAGGTTCCTAGCAATTCGTACGATGAGGAGAGGGGGATAATGAGGCTCATGCGGTTGAGTAAGGGCATGGGCAATCAGGAGTCGCCTGATAGGGAAGGAGAAGGGGTCAGGGAGGCAGAGTAAAGGAAAAAGCAAACAGGATTCTGGGGGGGAGGGTCCAGCACCAAAAACAAAATACCCCTAGGGAATTGTTTTTTGGCCACCCCCCCCAACCAAACCTGTCTCAGGTATTAGCAGAGGCAAAAGGCCGGGAGGCTGCCAAGCCTCCTCCATTCCTTCTAGAGAGAGAGTTAGGAGCACTCTCCTTGGCTCCACTCACACACAGTGGGGAGGACTCTCCTTCAGTTTCTCCGAAGGTAAAGAAGGGATGATTCTGCTTGGACAGGATTCCGCACGGAAAGAGTGAGGAGGACCCTGCACTTTTGCCATAGAGTGGGGAGGACTTTCCAGCCATTCATTCCAAATACAGGATAAAAAGGATTCTCCTTAACTTGTGGCAGAAAGATAGTGGCGGGAAACTCTTGGGCCTTCCACATGAGGAGTCCTCGTCGCTCTTTTTCTGGTATGAAAGGTGGGGAAGGCTTTCCTGCATTCTTGAGATAAAGAATGGGGCTTCTCTTCTGGGCTTCAGACATGGAGTGGTGAGAACTTGCCAGCAATCTCTCCAAAGATGGAGTGGGGCTGAATCTCTTGGAATGGGATGTGTTTATTCCACTCCTTCCAGAGAAACACTCATGGAGACACAAAATGAGCAGGGACCCATGTTTACGGTATTTTAGGTGG